TTCAAGTAAATGGATTATAGATAATGATTTAATAAACTTTTTTTTTTATTTTGTTATAGTTTGTATAATACATTCTTTAATTTTACTTATGTTTTATATTTTGTTATTTATTTATAATTATAATTACTATTGTTGATATTTTTAAACTTACTAATATTATATTTTACTTAAATTTTTTTTATAATTTGAATATAATGTAATTAATATTATATGTGTTTTAATTTACTATATTAAATAATTAGTATAAAATTAATTTATCCATATATACATATATTTAAATTTCATAGAGATATTTAATGTTTCATTAGTAAAATATAATTTGCATTTTTGAATATTCTGTAAATAATAAGAAAAATAAATATATTTAATTTAATTTAATAATGATCTTCTTTTATTCTTTTTTTTTATTTGTTTTAACTTTAATTATGGACCGAAAATGATCTGGATATAATTTCGATGTCACGACAATATGGCAGCAAATATTTCAGAATTTACATCTGAATCCAATATATACAGACCGAAAACAGTCCATATAATTTTGATGTCACAACAATATGGCAGCAAATATTTCAAAATTTACATCTGAGTCCAATATATACAGATCGAAAACGATTCGTATATAATTTCGATGTCACAACAATATGGCAGCAAATATTTCAGAATTTACATTTGAGTCCAATATATACAGACCAAAAACAATCTGAACATGTATAATAAACATACAAATTAGCAGCACAATTTTTAGTAGTTTCAATTGAGTCCCTCATATTCAGACCATTATCGGTTTGAATACAGTTTTCGTTGCCATTCAGGCGCGTAATTTTTTCATTGTTTCAAAAAAGAATGTATATATTCAGACCGAAGTTGGTCTGAATATATTTTTTGTAATTATTTTTCCTAATTATTCAGATCATTTGCGGTCTGTAATTATGAAATTATTTATTGTATTCTTAATATCCGGACCATTTTCGGTCCGTAAATTTTAATTTTATAATCACACCCTTCATTTTTTTACCAAAATATACAGTCCTGTTGCGGTCTGAATAGTTTAATTTACAAATCAATTTTTTGTCAGTATATTTTATTTTTCCATACCAAGTTTTTTCGATTCGACTATACGGACCAATATCGTCTGGATATTATTTTTCAAATCGATTTTTGAGTTATCCGGATCAAATTTTTGATCTGAATATTGATTCCCTGCAGTAGTGTTAGGATTAGATTATGGATACTTAATTGTTGAAGGGAGAAGGTATTCTAAGGGTCATGTAGTAGTGCAAAAGCTTGTTGGAATTTTAGTTTTATTAATGGCCATATGTAGGATATGGTGACTTCGCAATAGAAAAGATATTTTTTTATGGTAATTAGGAGCTTTATTGCTGCAATTGGGTGATGGTGTTGAAGGCTTTGGTTTGGATCAAGGCAAGGAACAAAATGATGTTTAGATATCTAATGGTTGGAATTTATTTGATGGATCTAAAAACTACCGTGGTGTGAGGTCTATTATCGTAATGTAACTACAGGCTGAGGGGTAGTTAATTTGTCATGTATATTGTTAAGCTATTTTTATCTAATTTATCTATTGTTGGGGCTATTTTGTACCTTTGTAATTATATCATTCGTAGTAAATGAGAATTATGGATATTTAAGTTGCCTCTGTTCAAGGTAGAAAGTGCAGTGTAATTATGTTACCTCTTAATTGAAAGCTATGATCCTTTTGTTTTTAAAAAAGCAAAAGTATATGTTTATACATGATATGTTATTTTTAACTCACATTATTTAAAATCATATATGATATTACATATTTTTATTTACTTAATATCATGTCATATCATATGATATACAATAAAATATGACATTGTACTTATAACTTTGCCCTTAAATATAAGCTTCTTCGTCTGGTCTTTCTTTTCTTTGGGGAACTATTGCTAGCCTTAGAGCATGTACAATAAAATTAATGAAAAAAAAAAAATTTATGTTATATCATCACAATTAATATTATTTTTATAAATTCATATTTTTATATATTTAACCCTTAAACAAAATACCTAATTAAATACCTTCTCTCCAATGTTTATGTCCAAAAGAAAACATTTTTAGAAATCACATTAACAAGGTTTTATTCAACTTACATTTAAATATTTAAACTAAAAACTTGAAATGATCTTTTTTTTAAAAAAATGCATGCCTTTGGATGGCTTTATCCAACAATTGACATTTTAGTCTGCACCACCTTACATTGTTTGCAAATTTTTTTTTCCCCTCTTTTGGGACAAGAAGCAAAAAGAGATTAAGAGAACAAAGAGAGAGAGCTTGGCTCTCTTTTTCAAAATGCTCCAATAAAGAAAAAAATTGGGACTCTGTTCTCTTTAAAGAAAGGAAGAATGAAAAAGCATGCCTCGTACATTTTTTAGGAGAGTACTCTTCCTTCCGGATTGACGTTATCTTCCTTTACTTTGAACGAACCTCTCAAACAATTAAAAGAAAATTGGGCTTTGAGATAAGCATGAAAGAAATTTTTATTGCTCAGAGAAATTCACAAGTACTGGAGCTTTCAGATAAGCTTCAAGGGTCACCATGTTCTAGGGGGGTTAATTAAGTTAACTTCGGAGTTTTCTTACTGCTTCCCTGTTTTTTATTTATAATTAATACCATATTATATAGATATTGAGATTCAGCTAAATATATCCTTGTTCTTATGGCTTGCTTCCGTTCTCCTTTTTGATAGCTGCCTCAGCAGCAGTGCAGCACCTCTTGCAACCTCCTCCATGACCGCCATAGCAACAGCCGTGTCTGCAACCGCCACCATATCCACCTCCATGTCCACCGCCACCGTAGCCACCTCCTCCAGGCCCACCATAACCACCACCGCCAGGCCCACCACCTCCATATCCACCCCAGCCAGGCCCACCACCTCCACGTCCACCCCAGCCAGGTCCACCACCTCCATAGCCATCTCCTCCGGGCCCACCATCTCGTCCAGGCCCACCACCTCCATATCCTCCACCTCCTCCATGTCCACCACCACCATGCCCTCCACCTCCATGTCCACCACCACCATGCCCTCCACCTCCATGCCCTCCACCTCCATGTCCACCACCACC